CCATTTTTCGAGGTCAACAATTATTATTATTATTATTATTATTATTTTGTTCTGATTTAGGCTGCAAAAGAAGAGATTGGTAGTAAGTCAAATAAGAAGGGTGGACATGCTAAAGAAGGCATCGCTAGATGCACCTTTGAGGATAAAATTAAAATGGGCGACATTGTGTTTTTGCGCGCTTGGACTCAAGTTGAAGTTCCTTGTTTTTACAATCCATTGACAACAGCCTTGCAGCCCACGTGATCAGACATGGCAAGGAATGAAAACAGTTGCTGAATTGAGGAGAGAACACAATCTTCCAGTACCTGTCAACAAGGATTCATTTTATCGGGTGAGAACTCACCGGTGTCTTATAACTCATTTCCCTCTTGCACTCCAGCTTACTCTAAATAAAAAATAAAATAAATAAATAAATAAAAAGGGAAGATAAGACATGGAATAACTTCCTTTTGTTCTTTATACAGTATCCTTACCATTTACATTTTGTGTTGTTTAACAGCCAATTGAAAGGAGGCCGAAGAAGTTCAACCCATTGGTTATTCCGAAGTCACTACAGGAGGCTCTGCCATTTGGTTCAAAGCCCAAGAACATTCCCGCTTGAAAGTGGCTAGGCGAGCTGTTGTTATGGAACCTCATGAACGAAAAGTGCACGCTCTGGTTCAACACCTTCAGCTCATTAGAAGTGAAAAGGTATCTACTGGAAAACTAAAATTTAGAAAAGAAAATGGCTTGTTTGGATCTATTGGGAAATTATAACATTCTATGATGCTACCCAGCCTTTCTAGCCTTTGCCCCCATTTGTCTCCTTTTGAAACAAAACGCTTTAGGGTATGTTTAGTTTGTGTTTTTGTTTTGATTTCATTTTTAGTTTTCTGTTTTAAGATTATTAAAAACGCATTCGGTTTGTCATTTTGAAAAAAATTATTTCTTTTCTCAAAACAGAAAACTAGAAAACACGTTTGATTTGAAATTTTGAAAAATTATTTTATTACATTTTATTCCATAAAATTTGATTATTCAGTAAAAGTATAACAATTTTATGTTAATATATTATCAAGTAATATATACATTTTAAAGTTGGAATCTTTCAATTTTTTTTTTTTTTTGGCTACAAAATAAAAATAAATAATAAATTGAGTTCAAAATATAGGAAATAAAAATTAAAATTAATGATGTAGACTGAAAATATTTTTATTTGTGTTTATTTAATTTTTTTTTAGAATTTTTATTTAAAAAATCATTAAGAGTTTCAAGTATTTTTATTTTTCTAAATTTTTTTCTAATTTTTATTTTCTTTCAAAATTTTTATTTTTTTAGTTTAGATTTTACTTTTTTTTTTTAGAATTTATCAATTTTATTTCCCGAATCTATTTTTCTTAAATTTTATCTTTTTTTAATTTTTAAATTTGATTTGTTTGAATTTTTATTTTTGTTTTAAAAAATTTTAAAATTTTAAAATTTTATTGAAATAAAATTTTATTTAAACTCATGTTTTTCATGTTTTGAACATTTTAAAAAATTTCACTGAAAGCACTCGAAACATCGAATATGTGTTTTGAGTTTTATGTAAAAAGTTTATTATTGTTTTCGAATGCATTTTCAAAAATGTTATACCAAACACGTTTTCAGTGTTTTTCAAAACTGAAAACAGCAAATCAAACGACGAACACATCTTTAATTCTCACCCTTATTTTCAACCAGTCATTCACATAATAAGTCTCTATTTGAGCCACATTATTTTTTTCATTCTCATTCTTCTACTCATTCTCAACCACACATTTTTCAATAAAATAATATTTTCCATCACATCAATAACTTTTCTTTCCTTTTCAACCACATATTCTCTATCACATCATTTCAAAAAAATGTATTCTCTCATTTTAATGTGTACCAAATGGGCTCAAAATTTTTTTATACGTAAACTCAAAATTTTTTCATATTTTTTAACCACACATTCTCCAAAAAAATCACTATTCAAAATATCATTTTTCAGAATATTTGCCATCAAACAGGGTCTTAGTTTGTTCCAATGCTAACGTGGAATTTTTCGTGAAGTCTTGTGGTTTCTGGTAATTTTGTCTTTAGTGTTCATTTGGCAACCTGGAATGATAGTACTGGAATTGCAAGAAGCACTGTGCTAAAGTCCTCACTCTACTGAAAAGCATGTTTTGGCTAAGCGTAAAAAGTTTACTAAGTAAATAAACATTAATTTTACTGGTCAAAATTGGAAATTAAGTTAATTTGGTAGCAATGTAATGATTATTTTCAGAATAAGTATCTATTTTTTACTTGAAATGTAACATTTCCAAACATGTTTGAAAAAAAAAATAAGTTACTCGAAGTACCTGTTACATATTATTTATTTTAAAGTTTAGCCCAACATGTTTTGTCAGATTCAGAAATAATTTACTCGAGATTCCTAATGACCTTTTTGTAGTT